TGTATATAAAGTTCTTCTATTTTTTATGGCAAAGTTCAGAAACCGTGTTAACAAAGTTCTTCGGCTTCAGATAAAATTTCTAGCAACGTTCTTTAATATTTCTAACAAAGTGCAGACCTACAATCTATAAAGTTCTTCACTGTTTCAAACAAAAATATTTTTCAAATGTATCCAAACCTGATCTTGTTCTAAAGGGCTTGGCACCACGAGTTCAAATATGTAAAAAGTTTAAAAAACGCAATTTTGGTTTAAAGATATGAACCATCTAAATTGTCAGAGCAAAATAAAAGGTGATTTAATTAGAAGGGAGAGGGAAGATAAAGTAGGCATGCGTGTGTCAGTATGTGCAGCGTGTGTGCAGGGAGAGAGAGAGGAAAGAAACGTGCACATGCAAGGGGCACGCATCCACATGAATAAGCAACGCCAGGGATTCGCGTTGTGCGCGCAAAGCGTTAGGATTCCCCATATTCGCAAGGGGTGCCCACTGCTTGCTCAGGCGCGCCATGTCGTCGGTGAGAGTAATCCACGCGAGCTACATCAACGTGCCGGCAACCGCGGCGCCGCCGCCGGAGCTGATCAAGCTCACGCCGATGGAGGTGCCATGGGTCGTCCTCCCTGAGCTGCAGCGCGTCCTGCTGTACGAGGGCGAAGACATGCCGCCCTTCGACGGCATTCTCCAATCCCTCAGATCCTCCCTCCCGCGGCTCTGGGCAGCTTCGCGCCGCTGGCCGGCAAAATCGTCCACCTTGAGGACACCGGCGACGTTGCCATTGCCTGCTCCACCTTGGACGGCGTAAGGTTCCTCGTGGCGGAGTGTGATGGCGAGATGAGACACCTGGCCGGCGACGAGGAGCACGACGTGTGCGTGCTCGAGCGGCTCGTGCCGGGGGTGGATATGGGCGAGTTGCTGACCCTGGTGCTGGCCGTGCAGGCCACGCGCTTCGAGGGTGGTGTGGCGCTCGGGGTGACGGTGCACCACGGTGTCACCACGGTGCAACCGCCGCTGCCGCCCGGCCCACGCGATTGCCGCCTCCCGCCAGGCCAGCACGCCCGCGCGCGCAACAACACCTGCCGCTGCCTCGCCCCTGCTTGCCGTTGGCACGCCCACGCTGTTGGGGAACGTAGTAATTTCAAAAAAAATCCTACGCGCACGCAACATCATGGTGATGAATAGCAACGAGAGGGGAGAGTGTGTCTACGTACCCTCCTAGACCAAAAGCGGAAGCGTTAGCACAACGCGGTTGATGTAGTCGTACGTCTTCACGATCCGACCGATCAAGTACCGAACGCACGGCACCTCCGAATTCAACACACATTCAGCCCGATGACGTCCCTCGAACGCCGATCCAGCCGAGTGTTGAGGGAGAGTTTCGTCAGCACGACGGCGTGGTCACGATGTTGATGTTCTACCGACGCAGGGCTTGGCCTAAGCACCGCTACAGTATTATCGAGGTGGACTATGGTGGGGGGCACCACACACGGCTAAAAAATCAAACGATCAATTGTTGTGTGTATGGGGTGTCCCCTGGCCACGTATATAAAGGAGTGGAGGAGGGGAGGGGCCGGCCCTCTCTATGGCGCGCCCTAGGGGAGTCCTACTCCCACCGGGAGTAGGATTCCCCCTTTCCTAGTAGAACTAGGAGCCCTTCCAAGTAGTAGGAGTAGGAGAGAAGGAAAGGGAAGGGAAAAAGAGAAGGAAGGATGGGGGCGCCCCCCTCCCTAGTCCAATTCGGACCAGCCCATGGGGAGGGGTGCGGCCACCCTTTGAGGCCTTTCTCTCCTTTCCCGTATGGCCCATTAAGGCCCAATACGAATTCCCGTAACTCCCCGGTACTCCCGAAAATACCCGAATCACTCGGAACCTTTCCGATGTCCGAATATAGTCGTCCAATATATCGATCTTTACGTCTCGACCATTTTGAGACTCCTCGTCATGTCCCCGATCTCATCCGGGACTCCGAACTCCTTCGGTACATCAAAACACATAAACTCATAATATAACCGTCATCGAACTTTAAGCGTGCGGACCCTACGGGTTCGAGAACTATGTAGACATGGCCGAGACACGTCTCCGGTCAATAACCAATAGCGGAACCTGGATGCTCATATTGGCTCCTACATATTCTACGAAGATTTTTATCGGTCAAACCGCATAACAACATACGTTGTTCCTTTGTCATTGGTATGTTACTTGCCCGAGATTCGATCGTCGGTATCTCAATTCCTAGTTCAATCTCGTTACCGGCAAGTCTCTTTACTCGTTACATAATACAACATTCTGCAACTAATTCATTAGTTGCAAGGCTTAGGTGATGTGTATTACCGAGTCGGCCCAGAGATACCTCTCCGACAATCGGAGTGACAAATCCTAATCTCGAAATATGTCAACCCAACAAGTACCTTCGGAGACACCTGTAGAGCACATTTATAATCACTCAGTTACGTTGTGACGTTTGGTGGCACACAAAGTGTTCCTCCGGTAACGAGAGTTGCATAATCTCATAGTCATAGGAACATGTATAAGTCATGAAGAAAGCAATAGCAACAAACTAAACGATCAAGTGCTAAGCTAACGGAATGGGTCAAGTCAATCACATCATTCTCCTAATGATGTGATCCCGTTAATCAAATGACAACTCATGTCTATGGTTAGGAAACATAACCATCTTTGATCACCGAGCTAGTCAAGTAGATGCATACTAGTGACATTATGTTTGTCTATGTACTCACACATGTATTATGTTTCCGGTTAATACAATTCTAGCATGAAAAATAAATATTTATCATGATATAAGGAAATAAATAATAACTTTATTATTGCCTCTAGGGCATATTTCCTTCACACGCGACTGCCGCAGCCCGCCCTTCCACGCTCGCCTCCCGGGCGCGCGTGCAACAGTCGCCGCCTGCCCGGCCAGTGTGCGCCCGCGCGCACGCAACAGCCCCCTGTCGCTACCCCGCCCCAGCTTGCCGGCGGCGCGCCCACGCACCTGCCACCGCCCGCCCGCGCTCGCCTCCCGCGCGCGTGCGCAACAACCTTCGCCGCCCCGCCCACGCGTCAGCAACCGCCGTGGCCATGGCGCCGGCCACGGAGCAGCTGGCCTCGCACCGCGTGGAGGTGGCCCGGCTTGCCGGGGCGAGCCACGAGCAGGTGGCCTCCGCCGTCCTGTATGCGGTCTAGTCCCAGACTCGTCGACAGCCGCTCCACAGAGACGCGCGGCTTGGTCGGGCGAGCCTGGCAATTGCTGCAGCTCTGGCGAGCGGGTGGACGAGCCCGACTGCTGAGCGCACGCGAGCCTGCTGCAACTCCAATGTTCACTCCCTTGACTACTAATTGTAGTTGTTAGCTACTCCCTCCGTTTAAAAATACGTCATTAAAATGGATAAAAAGGGCAAGTACTAATCATCATACGTGTATGCAACCAAACACCGGGTAAAAATTGTTTCACGACGACAAGACATCACATATAGACAACTAAACTACTTACCAACATCGTTTTTTTTCCTTGTTTTCTCTCAACCGGGCCCTGCTCAGTCTGGCTCGTTTTTGTCCTCTGACCCTGCACTATTCACTAGAGGCTTGGGAGTATGTGTACTTGCGAATTTATTTTTTTATATCTGTACTTGTGAATTTGTTTCGGATCGAAGTACCTCTGCTACGCGAGCCGTATATGTATGAAAGTTTGCAGGTGCACATAGTTCAAAAGAGTATGTACTTGTGAATTTGTTTCTTTATTGTAAGACAGTTTCTTTTTTTGAGGGATTTTAAAACAGTTTCTGGTTTTGAAAACACCGTGGCACAGCCACCGCGTGGTGGTGGATAAATTGCTCCCGCAATGCTACACCTAGGAAGGGCCTTGCGTAATTGTTACGTGATTAGCCAGTCGGCAGATTTTGATTGGTCTTGAGGGGAGGCGGGGCTCACCCCCACTGAAAATCAGGAAGGGCAAAGAACTAGCGAAGGAAGGTTTTACAGAGCCCTTCGTAGTTCTTAGGGCATGTACAATGGTTGATAAGATAGTCTTATATTAATTTTTGCATGTAAACTAGATATGACAAGAAAACATGTCTACAATGGGTCATCTTTTAGGCTTATCTTCAATAATTAATTGTTCCTAAAAATATGGTGAGACAAATTGTGCTAAGAGATCATCTTTTGTCTTCTCTTAAATAAGATAAGACAAGTCTTCTCTTATGATTTTTCTCTCCTCCATCTCATCATTTATTTTACGTGGAACTCTTAAGATATAATCATTGTACATGCCCTTACGTAGGTGTAGGATTATTCAATTGCTGCTATCATCACAGGTCCAGAATTAGTTGCCTGTCCCCCATAATTGTACGTGTATCCTGTTCATTTTGGTTCACCGGCTTGGGAGTATACAGGAGCAAATATAATAGACGCCGTGCACGAACCCGTTACTCTCTCCTCACTCCTCAGCTCCTCTCATCCACTGGAACAAGCTAGCGCTGCTTGCACACGCGCGCCATGTCGCCAGTGAAAATTATCGCCTCCAACTATGTCAGTGTGCCAGAGAGCCAAGCGCCACCGCCGGAGCCGATCAAGCTCACAGCGTTGGAGGCGCGGTGGGTCGTCTTCCCGGTGCTGCAGCACGTGCTGCTCTACGTGGGCGCCGACATGCCGCCCTTTGACGCCGTTTTCCAGTCCCTCCGGTCCTCCCTCTCCGCGACTCTAGGCAGCTTTGCACCGCTCGCCGGCAAGCTCGTCCACCTCGAGGAAACGGGGGACGTCGCGATCAGCTGCTCCGCCTCCGACGGCGTCAGGTTCGTCGTTGCGGAGTCCGACGCCGACATCCGCCGTCTCGCCGGAGACGAGGAGCACGACCTGCGCGTGCTCGAGGGGCTCGTGCCGGAGGTGGACATGAGCCAGTTGCCGACCCCCGTTCTGGCCGTGCAGGCCACGCGTTTCGAGCCTCGAGGGCGGCGTGGCGGTCGGGCTGACGGTGCACCACGGTGTCGCCGACGGCCGGTCGCTGTGGATGTTCGTTAAGGCGTGGGCGACGGCGTGTCGGGGCGAGATGCCGGCTGCCACGCCGTGCTTCGACCGCTCGCTCGTCAAACTTCCCGGTGGCCAAGATCTGGCCAGGAGCGGCTTGAGAAAGTTCGCGCCGAATCTACCGTTGGTATGTTGCCATTTCAAATGTTCGGGCTCTGCTTCAGTATTTCGTTGGTGACGTGCGTGACAAATCATACGCGTTGCAGACGGCACCGCCAGCGTGGTTCACCCGTCGTACGTTCACCTTGGATGTGCAGGACATCCAACGCCTCAAGCAGCACATCGTCCGTCTCGGCGTCGGCGAAGCATCGTCCCACTCGCCCCGGCCTCGCCCCCCGTCCACCTTCGCCGCCGTCGCCGCGCTCGCATGGACGTGCTTCATCCGGTGCAGGCCGTTCATCTCGGACGAGGAAGAAGCGCTGCTCATCTTCCTCGCTGATGTCCGTGACCGCCTCGATCCTCCCGTCGAGGCGGGGTACATCGGCGTGTGCCTCTGGCCGTGTCTCGTGAAGCTGCCCGCCGGGGAACTCCGCGGCCAGCGCGCCCTGGCGGCTGCAGCGTCGGCGATCCGGGACGAGGTCCGCAAGATGAGAGAGGTCCCAGTGGCCACGTGGGATTTTCAGACGTCGTTGCTGGCCGGCCGCCCTATGGACCGGCTGATGAGTGTGTCGGGCTCGCCGCGCTTCAGCGCATACGAGGACGCTGACTTCGGGTGGGGGAAGCCGAGGCGGACCGAGCCCATCAGGATGAACCACGACGGTCAGATCGCGCTGATGGGTGCCGGAGACGGCCACGGGGTGCAGGTGTCGGTGTCACTGCTGCAACCGGCGCAAATGGACTTGTTCAAGTCTCACTTCCTCGACCTACTTGGTTTAACCAAAAACAATTGATTATTTTCCTATGTGGAATTTTTTTTGAGATGTTCCTACGCGGATTTGATTGTCCTAAGTCGACCGAGATTTATCGTTAATATCATTAGTATCAATGTATGTTTTTTCTTTCGGTTGAAAAAAGTTAAAATTTTCTACAGACTACGAGTCTGTTCTCGGTAGCTTGCGCACCATGCTATGTGTTCCATCCGATGAGGCGTTACCACGTCAGCAGATGCAAATCGCCCACTCCCAGTGACTACTCCACCCTTGTCGTCGGTGCTTCCAGCGGCTGCACCCTAATCTACTGTGGCACAAACTACGGCCGGTCTTCATCCTTCTACGGCGGCGGCAGCGCCAGCAGCGCCATGGAGGTCGCATCGGGTGGATTCCGATCCACCCCCTTCTCTTGCCCCGACATGGCGCAAGAGAGACACGGTGCTATGGTTGCCATTGACGCCGAGGAGATGGGAGCTGCTGCTTGTTGATGCATGCGGACTGCTGGTCGCCTCGGTCTCCAGTGACATCTCCGAGCCAGTCCCGACGGACGGCCTACAGGTCCGAGGCATGATGTCCTCTCTTCTCTTCCCCTTTTCTTTCAAGTCCAGTCATACTTGTGATGTTGTGTCGAGCAGTTCAGTTCCAACGGCTGGTGATGCTAGTCACCCTCTGATATCGCCATGTTTTTACAAATCATTTGCTACGGCTGGAGCAACTTGTATCCCTTAGCTCGTGTGTCATGTTAACCTTCTTTTCAACATTCAAAGATTCAATGAGAATCGTTGTTCAAGGCGGTGTGTATGTGGTTGGAGCGGGTGGCCAAGGAGGTTTTTATCATAGTTTTAAATAGCCGGCTATAGCCTTTTCAGCAAGGTGCCGCTAAATGGTCGCCTTCACAAATAGTCCGCTTTAGCCCGCTATAGCTCCGCTATAACTGATTTACAGGCCCGCCGCTATTTTCCATAGCCCGCTATTTAAAACATTGGTTTTTACCCAACATGGGTGGCAGCATAATCTCCGTTTGGGTCCACCTCCTCCGTCGACATTGGCATAGTTTTGGACTCATATGGCTTTACTGTTGCCAACTTGTCGTTTTTTTTATATATATACTTTGCTAGACTCTTCGTTAAGGCTGTGTGCATCTTACCTATGCAGAGGTCGGGTGTCGCTCATTATGTTTTGTATCCATTTGATGTTACATTATGAGTTAATAAAAGCGCCCTTCATCGAAAAAAGATTCAATGAGAATTCAACAGAGATCTCTAGTTTTTGGTGTTTTAGAGAAGTGGCTCCTCCGTGAAGGAGGAATCTTAACAACAATGCTCCCGGCAATAAACTTATCAGACAACACACAAGTAAGGAGCTTAAGTTCTTTTGCCATCACTAAAGCTCATGGGCTTGTTTAACCACGGAACGGTTCTTGATCATCCTATAGTCATTAGACTGGTCTACAGAATACATTTCAGAACAGCATATGTGGTGCCAAACTTGGATTGAAGTGCATCTCACAGTCCTTTGGCATTTCACATATGTAAATATGCATCAATCAGCCTATCACCCAACACACTAATGACGACATCCACAAAGATTATAGTGGCATCTGAGAAAGCTTTGTCCTGTTCAGGAGTAAGTGCCCCCATCAGAGTGCTAGCTGAAACCCATTACACATTCGTAGCAGTGAACCAGATGGTAATTTTGGTCTACTATCTCTTGAAGTGAGCACCCTTAAATGGGCTTGATTTCATAGTAGTAGCAAAGCCAGTTAATGAAAATTGCCTGAATGGATAAGGCTTTTGGATTGTTAGAAAATTGGAAGATTTTCGATTAAGCTTAATCCAGCCTAGCATCATCACAAGATTACTAACATGGCAAATGACATACAACGGACTAGAAACATCTAACCCGTTGTCGGTGTCAAAACCGGCGGATCTCGGGAAGGGGGTCCCGAACTGTGCGTCTAAGGCAGATGGTAACAGGAGGCAGGAAACACGATGTTTTACCCAGGTTCGGGCCCTCTTGATGGAGGTAAAACCCTACGTCCTGCTTGATTTATTCTTGATGATATGGGTATTACAAGAGTTGATCTACCACGAGATCGAAGAGGCTAAACCCTAGAAGCTAAACTATGGTATGATTGTATGTCGTCCTACGGACTAAAACCCTCCAGTTTATATAGACACCGGAGGGGGTTAGGATTACACAAGGTCAGTTACAAAGGAGGAGATATACATATCCGTATTGCCTAAGCTTGCCTTCCACGACAAGTAGAGTCCCATCCGGACACGAGACGAAGTCTTCAATCTCGTATCTTCATAGTCCAACAGTCCGGCCAAAGGATATAGTCCGGCTGTCCGGAGACCCCCTAATCCAGGACTCCCTCAGTAGCCCCTGAACCAGACTTCAATGACGATGAGTCCGGTGCGCAGTGTTGTCTTCGGTATTGCAAGGCGGGTTCCTCCTCCAAACACATCACAGAAGAATTTGAATACAAGGACAGTGTCCGACCCTGTAAAATAAGTTTCACATACCACTGTAGAGAGAATAGTATTTCCACAAATCCAATTTGTTGACTTGTTTGGCGACACGACATTATGCCATGGCCTGATGATTATTCGAACCGTTTCCTTTAACTAGCCCCGCACATAACGCGAGGCGGTTTTTTTGACACATCTTGTCAAAGCAGATATCGTGTCCCCCTTATTACGGGATTCTCATCAATACGGGCGTGGGTAACCCAACCACGCCATCGATTACGGCGCTTGGGGGATAAGCGAGTTTTACCAGGCTAGTGAGGACGCATAGTTTCGTCCGCCCATATAAAGGGATAAGGATTCACCTTTTCATCCACGCCTTCTTCCTCCTTTGCTTATCCATTTTCGCGCACTCGAGCTCCAGCGCCCAAGTCCGCACTTCCCACCTCAACCTTCTCCAACCATGTCCGGAGCGGGAGGCAGGTGGATGTGTCAGGTGGATGGTCTCCTCCATCACGGAGGGACACATCAAGAAGCTGAGGAGAGCCGGATACCTGCCCGACGACATCGCGCACCGGCTCCCAGATGAGGGGCAGCTCATCCCCACCCCCAGGCCCCATGAGAGGGTAGTGTTCCTTACCCATTTCCTCCGCGGACTGGGATTCCCTCTCCACCCATTCGTCCGGGGGCTCATGTTCTACTACGGCCTGGATTTCCACGATCTGGCCCCGAACTTCATCCTCAACATCTTGGCGTTTATCGTCGTGTGCGAGGCCTTCCTTCGCATCAAGCCCCACTTCGGCTTATGGCTGAAGACCTTCAATGTCAAGCCGAAGGTAGTGAGCGGCCGCCAGGCGGAGTGCGGAGGCGCCATGGTGGGCAAGATGCCCAACGTCACATGGCTCGACGGCTCCTTCGTGGAGACCGTAAAGGGGTGGCAATCGGGGTGGTTCTACATCACCGAGCTGCGTGACCCTAAATGGGCAGCGGCCCCCGAGTTTCGATCTGGCATCCCCACGCGGCTCACCTCCTGGCAAGAGAAAGGCCTATCCTGGGGTAGTTCGGAGAGCTGACCGGACTCCAAACATGTATTCAAAACATGGTGAACAAGAAGCTCAAACTCATCAACGTAGTTCAGGTCATGCTCATCCGCCGGATCCTCCCGTGCCAACAACGGGCTTTCAACTTGTGGGAGTTCGACCCGGCCCAGCACCGAACTCTGAACAAGCTCTTCGACACAACTCATGAGGTTGCCTGGAAGGTGCTATTCAAGGGTGCCGAGGTTCCCCCTCCTACTACCGAGGATCGCGGATTCTGCGCGAAGCGCCAAGCCAACGCGGTAAGCTGTGTTACCTCTCATAGGATACTTGTTTTTTCATAGTTTGACTCTATGCGGGATCTAAGCTCCCGTACCTTTGACAAGACTGGCAGGAGACGGCCGGACAGATCGACTGTCCGGCTCCTTTGCCCGAAGGCCCAGCAGACGCTCTCCTGACGAAGATGCTGACTCCGGCTCCTTACAAGGTGCCGGAGAAGACCAAGAAGGCCAAGGGAACCCGAAAGAGTTCCCGACGCCAGGCGTCATCAGACTCCATCGTCTGATAACTCTGCGACACACTCCTCCCCTGAAGACGAGGAGGAAGAAGAAGATGCTCCCCCTTCAGTTGGGGGAGACAAGAAAAGGAAGGGCGCCCCAACTGGGGAGGTCGAAGGGTCCAAGAAGGGAAGGACTCTCCTTCCGGACAGTTCCACCACCGCCGCCGAAGGCGAAGACGAGTGGCTGCTCAGGGCCAAGCCCCTGGCGAAGTTAAGTATTCGGATACCAGAGTAACTCATAGCATTCCTTTGTCGCACTGCTTCCCCTAACGTCGAATATGATTATGCAGGCCGCCACGAGCCCGTATCGATGTATCGTCGTACGGATCCCTGGGCTCGTCGGATATGGACAACGATCCACTTTCGACCGCCACCTCCCCTTGCCCTGCGGACGACGCTGAGGTATTGTCTCAAGAGGCACCGGGTCGAGGGGAGACAGTCCCGGAGGCGCCTCAAGGCGACCTTCCGGACTCCGGGAGCAGAGGGAACAAGGCCCCTGAGGGCTCCGAGTTCGGCCCTCAGCCGAACACCGCGCCGGAACCTCCAGTGGTTCCGGACTTGGGCAGGCGGCCTCCTTCCAAGAGGGGCAAGACACCTGTGCCGGTGACCTCTATCCATCCAGAGGCGCCGGACAATCTGTTGGGAGCACTTCACAGCGCTTCCATCAACGAGGAGCACCGTACTATTATGAGTGCGGTGGTCTAGAAGGTTCAGTCCGCCAAGAGCGGATTGACTGAAACCTGTGCCAGCCTTCTAACAGGCTTTGAGGTAAGTGTTTAAAATATAGGAAAAATATTACCGCATAGACAGTAGCCCCCGATGCTCTGTTCGGTGTTCACAAAGAAAAGCCGAACCGAGGATCAAACAATATCGCAGGAGTTTAATATAAGTATGTCAATATGCGTATGGAGGCTTCGCTGCTGGCATCTGCCGCACTGACTGCGGAGGTCGTCG